TCCAGGTGGACAACTTCAGCAATCAGGAGCTTCTCAGTTGCTCATAGAAAATCCCACCTTGGAGTTTACAAAGACTTATGGGTAGAAAAGCCACACTAAGTAATTTACTACACTGCAAAAGCCTACCAATGCACTAACAACAATTAAAAAAAAAAAAAAAAACAACAACAATGAAAAGAAGATGTATGCTACTTGCTGATTGCTGCTTATAAGGCATAAACTTGCTTACCTCCATAATGTCTTCTAAATTCTCTTCTGCATCTGCTTTCTCTGTCATCAATTTGGCTGCCTTAAAATATGTCTTCATAAGTAGATAACCTTTTTTTGCTCCATTCCAGTATGACCGAGGAATTTCAACCAAGCCATACCCCAACAACAATACAAGAAGAAACAGACCCCATGTATTTGCAGCAGCTATCCCAATTGTCTGGAGTTGGTTCCTAAGAAAGAAAACGTGAGCAGCATGCTGTGATAAATAAATATTTCCTATAAAAATGTAAAATGAAACTGACTAATATTTGGTGGTTTTTCAGAAAACAACTGCCCTAAAGGATGGCTAGGATTTTACATTAAAAAAAAATCAGTCCTTTAAATCCTCAGCTACTTTTTTAATAACAGCAGCTAATCTGTGTGTTGTAATGGATTTAACACAGTTCCATTACAGATAAAATTAGAATCTAGGATAATTCACGGCAAAAATAAGTATTTGTTTTCCCTGAGAGAGGACATTTTTCACTAGGTATTCTCTTATTCAATATTAACCAAGACAAGCCTGAAAATTTTTAAATTATCTCATGTTGAAGTAACCCTACTCAAATCTCAGGAATGTAGCAGTGAGGTCTATCAATATCACTCCATTCCTAAATTTTCAGACCTAGCTCTTCACATACATTATAGAATACAAGTATTATGGAGATACCAGTTTTATTAAAATGTCTAAATGTAAGATAACATTATAGACAAATATGCCCTAAAACTATTGTAAGCACAAAAGGGAAAAGTATTCACAAGTTCCACTGAAAAAGCATCAAAAGAAAATATTTTCGTATATACAAAATTTGAAATTCTATGTTAAAAAATATTGAGTCGATACTTTTAACATAAAGATATTAGACTTAGTAATTTGTTGAATAGCTATATTTGAAGATGTCATTCTACATTTTCTTTCTTAGTAATAGGCATTATTCAGGTATCTTTTTATGAAATCTATAAAACATAACTTGTTCTGTTTCTTCAACCTAGGTGTCCATCAACTGAGGAATGGATAACCAAACTATGGTACCTACACACAGTGGGATACTATGCAACCCTAAAGAATAATGTAGAAATCTGCAAAACACCACATAACGTGGATGAACTTGGAGGACATTATGCTGAGTGAAATAAGTCAATCACAAAAGGACAAATATTGCATTAGTCCGTTATTGTAAAAGTCAAGGAAACATTTATCTATAGAAGGACATTTTCTTTGTTGGTTACCAGGGGTGAGAGGGGAGGGCAGGGAACTCTGTTAGACAGACAGAGATAAGTATTGATTTGGGTGAAGAGAAGGGCAATGTACCAAATGTTGAGTGATAAATATAGTGTCATTGAGGAAGAGAAAGACAGAGAGAGGTACGTGGGAGATACAGACAACAAAGATGAACCCTTTTGCACATACAGTATGGCACTGTCAGTGAAGGCAAACATGGGTATACGGGTGGATAGATGGGTGGACAGACTGAACTAGTAGGTACGTCTATGAAGTGGGGAGTGTACCCAAGAACAGGTTTAAGGTTGGAAGACAATGGTCTATAAGTTTATGTGTATGATCTGAACTCCCAGGTGTATAGTAGAGCTGACATGGGGCAAGGTTGTTGTCACTTCTTGGTCACAGCCAGCTACCAAGAGGGGCCGAAGTAGTTGAACCTATGGGCT